TTTCTGTGGGATGTGGGGGGGTAGAAACCCCATCAAACTTTTTTTTTCTTCTTTTTTCTTAATTATCGTTAAACAAGGAACCACTCCAAATATCATATTTTCATTTTTTGGCAATTATTATCTAACAAGGAAACTGTCGAAACTTGTTCTTGCCTTTGAAGTTTGGATTTTGTTGTCCTTTGCTGTAGTTCAGACAGACACAGAAGCTGCTACTATTGTTTGATGTATCTTTTACTAGTTTATGCCTTAATACATTTTTCATTTTCAGTTTAGGATTATTAGTCAATGATAATGTAGACTAGTACACACTAAAGTGCAGTATGTCAGTCAATGAAAGTTAACAATTGGTTGAAAATAGTAGTATGGTAGACAATATATATTTTTTTTTTTATTTATTTTTTTTTTGTGAGTGTATAGAATTTATAGTAATGAATTAAACTTTTGCAAAATATAAGGATTCTTGATGTACATACTCCAAAGGTTTGGTTTGACTGACAAAAAATTGTCTGGGAAATTAAGAATAAACTGTTTTTAGTGTGGGAGCTATCTGAAAGCCTTTACTTGTCGATAAACTGTAGTAGTATTAGTTTTACGCAGTACTGCATGACCACAACAATTCTCTGGATAGTGCCGATGGCTGCATTCACCAGTGTTTGCTCCAATGTTAAACTATTTCATATTTTTCATAATATGTAACTATATCATGGGACTCACTGAGTGTTGCAGAAATTTTTTTCTGTTGGGTTGATGGTATTACATATATTGCAATATTTGATTATATCTTTCAGCATTTTTGGGCAAAAAAATTGTCTTCTTTTGCTTCAGTATAAACACTTTATAACATAATTTAAGATATTGTCATAGGTAGGGGGAGATTTTAGGGTCAGAAAATTAATGAGTATCAATAGTATTGTTAGCATGGCTGTGATAATGATAATGCTGATTATCAAGATAGCATTATCTTAATAATTGTGAAAGAAATGTAAAATTTTTACTAAAAAATCAGTGAATGAATGGGTAGGTAGGTCTATTAATTAGCAACTGGATGACAAAATGCTTTCAATATCATCGAAGTGTAAACAAAAATAACAAAACAAAACTTCAGTTGACGTTGCCTGTACCCGTTGCAAATGGTTAATTTGGTGATTACTCACCACCTTGCCACCCATGAGTCAAATAATTCCTCGTACCTCTCAAGGCCTTTGCAGTTGGCAACAGACAAATAATCCTCAGGAATAGAGACATAAGGTGTTTTTTATTATTCATACTAGGAACAAAAAAATGCAAGAAGTCAATAAGGAAATCAAATGTAGTGAGCTTGCAACTTCCTTGTTATTGTAGGCCAAGGTCTGTACACTTTATCTTTTGTTTGCAAAAGTAGTTATTCTTGAAAAGTTATATTCCACATATAACTTCTAGATCCTTTTGCACATCTGCCAATTTGTGGGCAGAAGAACTCTGCTTTAGAATATGAAATTTGAATGAATGTAGGAGATAAACAATTATGCTTGAGTTACATTTTAAGAAATGTTTCAGTATGGCTGCATATATAGGTGTTTTTATATATGTCTGTAGTTTGGTGTTTAGCTATAAGAAGACAGTAAAAGGACAGGCAATATATGTATTCCAACACATATTTTTGTTTTCGTGGATAGGAAATTGCATGTTCTTTCATACAAATCTTACATAACTGCGTTTACTATTTGCTGTAATGACTTTTCTTTTACCTGCTTCATCCTTATTTTTAAAGTATTATGTGATATGCAAGTGTTAGTGTGATAGATTGTATTGTTGATGAAGTTGAAATTTTATATCCTGTGTCAGTGGGTCTTCAGATTTGATTTTATCAAGTTTCAACTTTGATGGTTTTACAATATTGTATATAGGAGAAACTTAATATAATTCTGAAAATATAGAGAAGTTTAAGAATGACATAACAGTGATAACTGATATAGAATAGAGATCTTAGGTAAGCTTATAATATCAGGTAAATGCTGTAAAAGTGTGAGTAGTAGATTGATAAGGATAACTGAAATAGTACAAAACATTTTTACTTTTATTTGAAAAGGAATGTATACATATTCAGCTTTTAAGTTTTATAATATCTTCATATTCAGAAGGTTTGATACTTGAAAAGGGAATCAAATGGACTCTACAATGGTAAAATATTCACATTTATATAAATAAGTTGATTTTTTTTTTTTTCTTGGTATATTTATAGTCCTGCCTTAAATCATTAATTTTCGTTGATCATAAATAAAATATTAGTTTTTTGGAGATGATCCTTATGGCTTTACATTTAACCATTGTGTACAAGCCTTGTATAAAACATGGTAAGTCTATTGTATATGATAGTTAAAAATTGTCACAAACAATCAGACCATTATATTGAGGGAGCATTTATGTACAAAAGCAGAGAATATCGGCAAAAAATAAAATATGGCAGCAGCATAGGGCTGTGAAGAATATATTTTATCTCTGTGATCTGTCCTTCTTGTAG